ACCAGAATGTGCATTTCCAAACACATATTTTCCTACTTTTTGCATTTACTTTTACACAGATCAGTACACATATATACAATACAATATTGACTTAACATGTATTTTATAGTACAAAGAGAGCAAAGACACATTTATACATTGTTAGCATGTTAGTTTTTATTTGATTTCAGATTACATGGCAGTCAGGTTTACTGTAATTTACACTGACCTCCAAACATAACTTTTTCTGTCTGTAGTTCTGCATCTGCTCTGCCTCAACTCTCTGTGATTTAGTTTCCTCAAGGACAGAGAGCTTCACTAGTTGCTTAAAAGTAAGTTGAAGCTACTTAGCTCAGTCCTGGACTTGGAGATCAAAGCACCGAAGGAGTGTTGGTATATTTACACCACCAGCAAAGGAGCTTTGGACAGAGGAAGTTTTCAGCCCTAGGGGCGAGGGGGAACCAGTGGAGACCGGTGTTGTGCCAGTACCAAGCTCAGCAGGCAAAGAGACCCAAGAGGACATTAATGGAGGAATCTAAGAAGAGAAAAGCAGAGAGTTATACTTCATGTTGTTTGTTGTAAATTATCTAGAATTGCATGTTTCAACTCAGTTTCCCTGTTTTATTTGTTTTGAGTTAGAAAATGTAGATGAAATCCTGCAGTGCGTCTGTTTCATGTATTGAACAGTCACTGTTTTAAAGTTTCACATTTGTATCATATACATAGTTTTAAATGACAGACGTCAAATGTCAGAGTCTGGTGTATTTTACAGTACAAAGAGAGCAAAGACACATTTATAAATTGTTAACATGTGTTTTTATTTGGTTCCAGATTACATGGCAGGCAGGTTTACTGTAATTCACACTGACATCCAAATATGCCTTTCACTTGCAGAGCATTCAGTTTAAAAAGGCTTGCAGTGTCACTGCTTTATGCCTCTGGAGTTATCAGAACTTAACAGTTTGCCGTCATCGGCCAGTTGAAGGCGGCTCCCGAAAACACCTTTGGCATAAAAGTTTGTGTGCCACCTAGGTTGCTTATCCTTGTTGTACATGACCAGGTTGCAGTCATCCTGCATGACCAGGCAGACAACATTTGTTCCATATGTGTCTGAAGCCCACACAGGCTTCCAGCCATAGATGACAAAGTTACTATCATCCTGAAAGCAGAAACAGATATTTGGCTGTTATCAAAGTAAAGCAATATAAGCAGACAGGCTAGTAAAAAATGTATGATATTTGATGAACTTCTGCACTGCAAATATTCTGGTTTACTCACCTGGAAGACAGCCTTCCACTGCTTGTTGTTGGACATCAGGTAATATCAATTGATTGGTATTGGGTTGAAATAATCAGCTTAAAAAAAGTAAATTGACATTTTTATCAAGTGTTTGGTATCAAATTAAAGTAACTGCTGACAGTGTAAGAGATTGAAGAACCAGGATGTAACAAGTCTTTAAAACTCATTGCTCACTTTACCACGTGGTGCCGGTTTGGAGCATGAGTTAGTTTAAATAAATTATTGCAACTTCAGCAATGCACCACAAGATGTCACACTTATCCTACTGTATCCACATACACCTTGCTATTGCTCTTTTACAGAAACACTTGAATAACCTTTGTATGGTGTAGGTCATTGTTTTTTTATATATATATGCAGAAGATTACAGACTGGATCTTGGATAGATTTTATTTTTATCTTTATATAATATACAGATCTGAATACATTCCCAACGTGTACACCAGTGGATCTTTTCGGGTCCCTATGTCCCGTGTCTATGCTCAAGTAAGATTTTGAATGCCGGCCTTTTACTTATATTTTTACATTATGGAAATACAAGTTTTTAAGATCTGAATATTTCAGAGGCAATATAAGTCTGACATTAGATTAAATACTATACTATAGAATATTTGTCTACAACAGAACCTTCTAAGTCAGTTTTCCCTGTTTTAATTGTTTTGAGTTAGAAAATGTAGTTTTAATCGCTGTTTTAAGTGAAGAGTTGCACAAGGAGCAGAGATTCAGATAATAGCTCACACCAAAGAGAAGGAGAATCCTCATTTATGCATTGTTAACATTTTATTTGTTCCCAAAAATCCAAAGATTACTTTCACATGCAATGAATTTCAGAAACATCATTTCATCACTTCATGCCTTTGGAGTTGGAAGAGTTCCAAATCTCTTCACATTCCCTGTTCACCACCAGTTTGCTGAACACGGCACATTTTACAGCTGGACTGGAGTTTGTGTGCCACCTGGGTTCATCATCCTGGTTGTACATGACCAGGTTGCAGTCTTCCTGAAGCCCACACAGGCTTCCAGCCATAGATGATAAAGTTAACATCGTCCTGCAGCCAGAAAAAGACACTTATTTCCTTACTTTTTGCATTTACTTTTACACAGACCAGTACACATGTATCATGCACTTTGATTGGTGTTCAAAGAGCAGAAATATTCAAATTTACTCACCTGGAAAATAGCCTTCCACTCCTTATTGTTGGACAGCAGGTAGTCTCCCCTGCAGAGCTCATCATTTTTGGACAAGAAGTTCATGCTCATGATTCTGCAACAGAAAGAAAAACCCTTTTTGTATTATACATACAGTATGCAGCTATTATAAACCTCCTTTCAACAGCAGAAGTTTAAACTGCAATGATTCCTGCATACATTAATCTTTCAG